TACTGAGATTTAGAATAATTGATGAAATTAAGGCTATTTATTCAATTTCTTATTTACAGATTGGTGAATTGGATATTAATACTCATTAAAAAAACGAAAATTCTTTCATTATTATGAGTATCAAAGAAACCTTCCGATCAAACTTTGGGGAGAAACTTTGTCATGCAAAATTATTTTGGAAGTAAAGTCAATTGCAAAAAAATATACAAGTATCTCACTATATTTGTGTTGTATCATACAGGTACAACCCGATGTTGCTGAAGATGAGCACACTGGAATTGTAAATATTACTGCCTCTAATGAATTGTAAGTTACCATTTTAGGTCCACCAACAACATCATCTTTATTAATTGCACGTATACACAGTCTAAACATAAAAATCGTGTAAACAACTTAGTTTTCCCGATTTCATAATTTTATTTTATTCGTGAAGACAACCTTGTGCGATTTGTAGAACTCCAGAAAAATGTTCAATGAAACACAATTTTATGATTGTGACCCACAACATTTAAGCGGTTCATAGTAGTATTCAACATTTGAGGAAAACAAAGTGTAATCTGGTGATATGCATACATAGGACCTATGTACATTTGTTTAATTTGTGGCAATTTTCATTTCTATCCATTTTCAGAGAGAGGTCACTGACAATGGGACTACTTGCGAGTATACACTCAACACACCTGACCATCCACTACCTGCCACTAATTAATTGTAGAACCATGTGCCACCTGATTGTCAGTTTATGCCTCAAATGTGTCCGCAATATCTGTACCACAAATGCTAGTACCAAAATGTACAGTCACTATCAAATAATTAGTCAATTCAAAAATAAATTGATAGCAAAATTTGATTCCACCACTGTGGATTATGCTACAGATGTGACCATGGCACTTGACTTCTAAACTACGATAGATTCGTTAAGTAACTTTTCATACATTGGAACTAGTTTCACATGTTATGCTTTAAAATCTAAAAACAATTTTGATTCAAGCGACATGCAGATCATCCTAGATCATTATTGTGTACTACTTACAGAGGTGTTAAACTTCAATTTTATATACTGCGCGATTTTTGCTTTCCACGGGGACACAAGTGTCC